TTTTATTTTTAAAATTTTGACCCATCCCAGACTAAATATGCACATACTTGCACTTTTCTGAGCCTGCCAAATCGGACCTGAAAGAAGAGTTCCGTAAGCCAACCTTTTTTTGAGATCTTAGTCGAAAATAATCAGGAGATTTGATTAAAGCACACTCATAATAAAATTTTAATATATTAAGGATAAGTATAAAAAGGTTTCCTTAAAAAATCCAACACATACCACTATTACCAAAATATACTTAGTGAGTTATTTAATATTTTAAATTTTAAAATAATATAACTTTTGATCTATATGTGAGTTTTTAATAAAATTAGTATTTTTAGAATTCTCTCATTAAAGCCTATCAAACAAGATTCATGTTGACTATGAAATTCTTAAAAAAATATAAATAAATACTGTCGAAATTAGCGTAAACAGTAACATGTTATTCTGATCCACAATACCATTTTGCTGTTATAAAAAACATAGTACATGTTAGATGAACAAACCAAAAATACACATACACAACATTTTTAAATTTGTATAATATAAAATAAAAGTGTTTCTCGTCAAAAGAGTTATGTGATATATATATATATATATATATATGCATGGGCAATATTATCCAATAAAAAAAGAAGAAATTTTACTTTGTCATTGCTCAATTATGCGCCTCCTCCTTAGAGAGTTTATGAAACAAAACAAAATGGGTTGTCCTTTTCACCAAATAAGGGTCCAATGAAGGGGTTTTGGCTAAATTTCTCAAAAAACTCAAACAACACCTAACAAAAATAAAATAAATAATCAAATCCCATGCCCTTTTAAAATAAATTTCTCAAACTCATACATTTTTAAACTCGTACCCCTTTGTGATGTGTTGTTTATGAATTTTACTTTGAAATCATATTTTCAACACACTCCAATGAAGTTGTGTTTGTTCAATTAACATATTGTAAAATTTCTGAAGTTGTGTTCTAAAAACATAATTTTATGTCTGAGATATGATTTTACATCAACATAGAAAGTTACCGTAATGCTAGAAATTCAAAAATTTTATCAAGAAAATATTTAGAATAAGTATTGTGCAGTTGAAATTCATTCCAAGTGTGGGTCTTACTATAAAAGAATTGAATCTCGACAATATATCACCAATCGAGATACATTTCTTCACATTTTCTTTAGTCTATCTTTTATGAGAAAGGAGCAATGTTAGGAACCCATAAATTCTACCCATATTGGGTTATATTATGTAAATAGAATCTAGAGCACATATCACAATTGGAAATAAAGTTTTTAACATTTTCTCTTAATCTTTATCTTTTTCTGAGAAAATTATCATAAGTAGAGTTTTTATGATAGAAAACATACAAGTATTTTTTTTTTTCAAAATGAAAAATTCTTTTTTCACTTTGTGGTAACTACTCTCTCTCTCTCTCTCTGAACCCAACCATTCATTTAATACTAACTTTATATTTTTGTGAGTAGTATTAATTTTTTTTTTTCCGAACGATAGAAAGGTATTATTAGCAGTCACTCCCCCAAATTTAGGCCGCTTCCATTAGCTTCCCCTCAAAATGACCAATGTTATGATTTTTCCATATACGCCAAAGAATATTAGCAGCCAAAGCACAACAACACCAAAATACATTCTCTGTATCACTCCATCTATGCCATAAGATTTCCCACCAATAAATAAAACACCATTCTCATCACATGAAAAGCAAGTGAGTCAGGGGAATTCTACTTTCTCCATGTAAATCAAATTAGGAAATAACATCCTAAGGTCCATCCAAGGTATCTCTAAATCACCCAAATACTTCAATTGTAACATCTTAACTATGGTGTTACTATTAGGCCTAGATCACACAATACCCTCTGAAAAATCTAGAAATCCCCAAATCCCCTAGATATTGATTTGTGATTATGTATCAATTTTAAGCAGTAAACAACAATCCCAATCAAACAATCAAGAAAAATCGACACAACGTGCAAAATCACAATCGGAGCGCCTTTAATTGTGATAAAAAAAAACCACGAGCAAAAGCCACAAAACAATCCACTAAGAAGACATAAAAGAATTACACAAGTGTACTCTCAATTACCTAGCGAATCCATGCCCGAATCGAACCGATCCCTATGTGTCTCTTCCAGCCCTGTCTTCACCTCGGAATTGTCTTGCCCAACGTTGAATCCACAACACCGATGTCGAATCACGATGATGAGCCACTCCAGAATCCACCAAAGCTTCAGGCCCGAATTCCCCGGAATCCACTGAAGAACAACTCTCTCTTTGTTGAATAAAACAAACTAAACAAATCATTTGATATAATCCACTCAATTCATGATTAATCTCTCATAGATATCAAAGGAAAACAAGCAAAGAAATGCCAGAAGAAAACCCTAATATCCAAAAAGAAGATCTGGAAGCCGAACCCTAAAATCGAACTGAAACACATATTTATAGAAAATAGATTCGCAATCTCCGCTCGAGCACAAGAATAGCCGCTCGAGCGGATCTACACTCGAGCGCAAGAATGGCCGCTCGGACGGAAAAAAATAACTCCTAGTACTTTTGCAGGTGAGTGAAACTTCTGAAAGGTCGCGATCTCCGCTCGAGTGCACAATCGGCCGCTCGAGCAGACAAATTGCTCGATCCCCGACATAGTCAGCGAAGTGGCAAACATGATAGGATTAAGATCACAAACTCCTCTACATAGGCACAATTCAGGTTAGATTCGCATCTAAAACTCATAGCCTCACTAAAATAAAAGATCGAATAAAATTAAAACTAAAAGGAGTTTTGTCAAACAAGATTGCCAAGAATAAAAACTTAACACCCTTCCTTTTATGTAGAGTTTATTTTTGGGTTCTTCAAATTACTAGACCACAACCAAATGGGTGTAGCCATCTAGTTTTTGCAACGAGGAATGAGGTTCCAACTGAAGAGGAAGATCGGAATCATGCTGCTCAGTGAATGATCTTGTCAATGCTTTTGTTAAGTTGGTGCATAGTTTTGGTTGTGGTAAGGGGTGTGCGCAATGCGGTTCGGACGGTTTGAAAGTAAAATTACAAATCGAATGACGGGTTAGCGGATTGGCAGATTGACAACTTGCGGTTTGGGCAGTTTTTAGCGAATTAGTGAATTGAAGAATATTCTAACTAATTATCATACATTTACATAATATATAACACCAATTTTTATAATATTTTTTAGATATATAACACAAACTAATTTTACATAATATGTTTCATATATATAACTACTAATTTGTAATAAATTTCATATCTTAAATCACTCTCACACTCATTTTTACATTAATATTTCATTGGAAGTTAAAAATATATATTAACTACAGCGGAGCGGGGCGGTTCGGTTAGCGGACTATAAATTTTAAAGTTTAAACCGCGGTTATCAGTTAGAGCGGTGCAGATTGATGCAGATCGGTGTAGTTTTAGCAAATTGGGTGGTATTTTGCCCAACCCTAGTTGTGGTCGTGCTTTCTTAGGTGTGTCGTCTGTTTGCCTCGTAAAATGCATCGTGACCGAGATATCTAAAGTTTGGCAATTTTGTCAAATCATTAATAGTACATGAGTTTTTGTCTTTAGAATGTCTAATGATAAATCCTTTAAGAGCTTGAAGTTCTAACAGTGAACCAAGCTCCATGAGAATGTGGTTTAAAAAGTAACAATTAGTTATGTCCAAATGTGTCAAATGTTTAAGAAAACCAATCCAATCTAAAATCACCTCAAGATTGTGACAAGCTTTGAGATCCAAGATCTCAAGATTAGTCAGTTCAGAAATGTATTGGGAAGCTTTGTAATTAAAGAAATTCCTCGAAGCCAAAGAAATTTCAACTGTTTCATATTCTTGAGTGCATTGAGAATTTTGATATCTGCAACTTTAATGTGATATGTGACCAAGAGATTATGGTTGGGTCAATGGTGATGTGATGTTGGTTTGAAAGATGGTGGGGATGGTTGTTTGGGTGAGAGAGGAGAGATGGTGGTTTGGGTGAGAAAGAAAAAGAGGCAAAATATAATTTTTTTTATAACTTATTTCACTGAAATATGATGGCAGGGGAAAATTGATTACATTTTAAATATGTGAGTAGGTAAATTGATAATATCAAACGATCATTTGTTAAATTGATTTTTACGGTATAGTTTGAGGGAAAATGATATTTCCTCATTTTATATTTATATTTTAGGATAGCTTGATAATTGAGGAAAACTTATTGGTAGTTTTAAACTTCAATGAAATAAAGGAAAATCATTTTAACAGTTATTATGTGTGATAGCTACTAGCTAAGAGCATCTCCAATGTTATTGCTATTTTACTATTGCTATTGCTTTAATTTGGCAATGAATAGTGTTATTTTGCCAAATTATAGCAATGGTGCTCCAATGGTCATTTACTATTTTTGGCAAATCTCAACCAACTTTTCCTCCAAGTTTGTAGGTGTTGTTTGGATATGGGTTTTTTGTGATTTTATTTTTGTTTATTTTTTGTCTTTTGTGACATTTTTTTACCTGTTTGTTAAAACAATTATATATTTATATTATTCCCAACTAGACAAATATAAAAAATTTTAAAAAAAATGAAAAATTGGAAAAAAAAATAATTTTGTTTAATTAATTCACCCCACCAAAAAACATATCACTGCATATTTAATAAATTTTTTTAACTACACATAAAAAATAAACAATCACCAATTACCCACCAACAACCAATCACCAACAACCATCCATTATTAACCTAGCATTCATTCACTCACAACTATCCACCCAACAATCATCCATTATTCATCCACCCACCCAACAACCACCCATTATTCATCCACCCACCCAACAACCATCCATCATTCACCCACCCACAATTTTCTCTATAAATATAACATAAGGTTTTCTACAATTTTCATATTCACCTACCCATTATTTTCATTTCTTCAAAACTCTCTGTACTCACCAAGAAGATTTTCTACAATTTTCATATTCATCCACTCACCCATCCACCTACAATGAACAATTTGAGTAAAGCCATATCAAATGGAGATTTTGATGAATCTTCATCATCTGATGATGATGTCATCATGATGCAACTATTCACAACGCAACATCAAAGATTCCAGATGTTAAGCCTAAACCAACAAACCAGACATGTTGGTTCCATAAGTGGTCATCGATACATTAATCGTGATAGGGTCAAAGGCGACGAACAAATTTATAGAGATTATTTTGCAGATAATCCTGTCTATCCAGAAGAATACTTCCGAAGACGTTTTCGAATGAGGCAATCATTGTTTGTTAGTATCTTACACGATATTCAACAAGTGAATGAGTACTTCATCCAAACCCGTGATGGCATTGGTGCTCCTGGATTATCCGGTGTACAGAAGATGATTGCAGCACTTCGGATCCTCCAATACGACGTGCCTGCTGATGTTGTAGACGAGTACATTAGAATACGCGAAAGTACTGCAATTGCCGCCTTAAATTTTTTTACTAGATCAATTGTTGCTACCTATGAAGCCGTTTACTTAAGATCTCCAAATGAAGCAGATGTCGCCAGATTATTGCAAGACGGAGAGCAACGCGGGTTTCCTGGAATGTTAGGGAGTTTGGATTGTATGCACTGGCGTTGGGATAAATGTCTAAGTGCCCACGCCGGTGCTTACACTAGACACTATCACAAACCAACAGTTGTACTCGAGGCAGTTGCCTCCTATGACTTGTGGATTTGGCATGCTTTCTTTGGCATGCCTGGCTCTCTAAATGATATTACTGTTCTTGACAGGTCACCTTTATTTACTGAATTAACTAGAGAACGTGCCCCTGCTACCAACTACACCATTAATAATCACGCGTACACCATGGGGTATTATCTTGCTGATGGTATCTATCCTCATTGGGCAACGATTGTGAAAACGATATCTCAACCTCAAGGCGCAAAGAGACAACTATTTGCGAGGATGCAGGAGGCATGTCGGAAAGATGTCGAAAGGGCATTTGGAGTGCTCCAAGCACAATTTAATATTGTCAGCGTGCCAGCTAGAGGTTAGAGTGATGAGGATCTGTACTACATCATGAAGACGTGCATTATTTTGCACAACATGACCATTAAAGACGAGAGTGATATTCTAGAAAACGAACGCAGTGCAGCACAATTTGAGACTGATACCAGTAATTTGAGCTGTCAAGTGTTATGCGATCCGAATGAGGAGTATGCTCAATTTATGTTGAATCGACAAAGGATTAGATCTATTGAAGCCCATAATGTAATTTGTAATGATCTAATTGAACACTTGTGGTCCTGAGCTGGAGAGTTAGATTAAGTTTGCATTTTATCTTTTTAACGACAGTTAATGTCATTTAATCTTCGTTAATGTCTTTTTATTCTAATAAAATGTTATTCATTTAATGTCTTTTTATTTTATTTTTTTATTATAATATTACATTGTGAAGTATGAAATACTCAAAAATAAATAAAAAAATAACATGAAATTTCATTACCAAATAAAAATTACATTACAAATAAAGACTAACAATTACATCAAAAAATAAATGATATTGCAAATTTTAAAAATACATTATCCCGCAATTATTCATCAGGAGGTAGGGGAAATAAAAATTTGGGCTGCTCACATTTGAGGACCACTTGGCGAAAATCTCATTTTTTTGCATTGTGTAATACGCTTTCATTTGAGGGTCCAAATGAGAAATGTCCGTAGTCATTATTTGGTGTTCTTCCTTTTTCATCTCAAACTCATGTTTTTTCATCTCAAGTTCTTTCATCTCCTACAGTGCTTGAATCCTTTTTTCTTCTCTTTCCTCTTTTTCTTTTCTTTCTCAACAAGGTGTTGGTTAAATGTGTCTAATTGTATGCTTATTTTTTGGACTTCAGTTTCAATGACTTGATTTCTCCGAAATAATTTTTTGCAGATTTCCTACCCATCGGCCTTTTACCCCTTGTAGAGACACTGCCCTCACCAACAGTTGGATTGTTACCAACACTTGGACTGTTGTCGTCTTCAAAAGAAATGCAGTTTTCCATAGGGGATCAAGGGCTGAATTACGGGTAAACACTGTATGCATCCTTGACTTTACCGTATTCCTGGGAGCTACATCTTGCCACCTGATATTGTCTTGTAATATTGGCCAACAATGTTCAAAAGCGAAATGTTTGTTTTCATCTTGATGGTATAACAATTTTGCTTGAAGCATCTATTTAAAAAAAATTGAAACATTATCTAATTATGTAATTTTTATACGATACCAGAATAAGAAACTAAATATAATAACTGAAAATAAAAACTTACTACATCAACTTGAGAAATCCCACTTGGGTGAAGATTTTCGACTTGAGCTAAACATCCCCGAAATTTGTTAGAACATTTCATGATTATACCCCATCGAGATTGAATAGACATTCTGAAGCAGGCAATAATTTTCGTAAATTCTCCACCAAAAGTGAGCATACGATTGCGAATTGCCAACAATTGGGTCTTCCGAAATGTGACACCAAGATTTACAAATTGCCATATCTTCTTCAATGGTGAATGATTTTCCTCTCTTTGTTTTTGATGAACCTTCCATAGTGATTGGATGAAAAAACTAAAAAGAAAATAATTTAAGAGGTTTGCTGTGAAATCAGATTCAAAGAAGAGAGAAGAAAAGAAAAATTAAATGTAAATGTTTGTATGAAATAAAAGTGGCATGGAGGGTTTCAATTTATAGAAATTAAATATATTACCGTTTGGCAAATAGCCGTTTAAAAGAGCTGTTGTAAAAAATAATTTAATTTTTTTTTTTTTGTTAAACAAACCAAACAGAGCCCAACGGCTCTTTATTACACTGAGGCATCACCTTATTTTGCCATAGATCTAGAATGATCCACTCTCTTCTCACTTTTATTCTCCTCCACGGCTCTTCCTCTCCCTCTCATTCTCACTCTGTCTTCTCCTCCATGGCCAAAACCAAACAGAGCACAAACCAAACAGAGCACAAGCCACTCTCCCTTCTCCTCGATGGTCGAAACCCCTCCCTCACTCTCTCACTCTCTCTCCCTTTCAGCCTCTCACTCTGTCTCCCTCTTCTCAAACCACTCCCCCTTCTCCTCCATGATCTCCTCCATGATCGGAACCCCTTCTCTCCCTCTTCCTCCATGATCGGAACCCCCTCTCTCTGGTTTCACTTTGTCTCCCTCTCAATCCTCACCTCCGATCTGTGTACTCTCCGTCTCTGGTACGATCTCCATCTATATACATACTCATATATATATATATATATATATGTTTTGATCTGTCTTGAACTCCATCTATACAATCTGTCTTCATGTGTTTTGATCATACATATATATATATATATATATATGTTTTGATTTGTTCCTTCATCAATTTTTTATATCTGTCTTCATCAAATTTTTTGTTCACCAATTTTTTATATCTGAAAATTGGGTTTGATTTTGGAAAATAGGTTCCGTACTGGATTAATTCTGTTGTTTTCAACTGAATTTGGTGCGAAATTCCTGTTGATTTTTGCTGATCTGGCAAGCTTGGCATCTGCTATTTCACTTGCCAAATTTGAGAACACATATGGCATCTGCCATCTTTTGCAAGTGAAATAGCAGACCGTTGGAGACTCATTTTTGCCATTCCTGTCATTTTTTAGCTTTGGAAACTGATATAGCAGCTCCATTGGAGATGTTCTATGTGAGAAAAGGTGGCAATTATTAGGTGAGAAGTGTATTCTTGAAAAAAATTAAAAAAAATGACAACCATTCATACCAATTCAAATGTATACTTTGTATAATAATATATGTATAGACTAAAAAGTGTGCATTCAAAACGGCAAATATAGAATCCAAAGATGTGCTTGAAATTTACAACTACACTTACATAAAGGTAATTTAAAAATAATAAAAGTTAATACAAAAGTTTTCAAGATAATAAAGATATGCTCCAAAACAACTCTGTGCCCCCTTTTTTTTCCTTTCTCAAAATGAAGCAAATAATTTATTTTTTTTCTCATGTAATTCATTGTAAGTTTCCCAAGTGCATTAATTAGAGAAATGGTAAATTTTGAACTTGAACTCATGTAATATAACCCCCATCAGGTGCCATACAAGAAAACTAAAAAATATATATATATAGAATTTTTTTTAAGATTTGAGCCCTATAAAAAAATAAATATTACTTTTTAATTTAGTCAATATAAATTCTGATCTTTTGGTTTATTTTCAACTTAAATCATTTGCATGTTTTTGTTAATTTAAACTCTCTAAAGAAAGAGAGTATATTTTAGTTATTAAACTCAATGAAAACTGATATTTTAAATATTTTCTACAAAATTACATTAAGTTTAATGACTACAATATTATTTTCAATCAATTTTACTTAAAAGGAAATAGGTGGCTGATTTAGATGAAAACAAATAAAAAAATTAGAATTTAAATTGATAAAATTAATAACTAAAATTAATTTTTTTACAAAATTCAAACTTTGATTTTTTATTATTATTTTTTCTTTTTTAATTCCGGTAAAGACATGCTCTGCCTTAGCCAAATGCAACTTTATTGAAAACTTGTAAAGAAGCCTTGATGAATGACATTGAAGACATATAAATTAGATTTAATAAATAAATACTTATAGCTAGTTTTTTTTTTAGAGGGAAATTACTATACTATCTCTCAAGACATTAATTTGCTAGCCTAGAAGTAGAAAGGGAAGACAATAGAAAGAGGTCTCCCTTCCACCCTCAGTAGCTTCTTCCACCGCATTTCTCATCGATGCCATTGTCTTTTCTCATCCAAACACCATTCTGATTGCGGCCTGGACATTCTACTTTCTCCAAGTAAATCAAATTGGGAAATAAACATCATAATGTCTTTCCAAGGCATCTCTAAGTTACTCAAGTACTTCAATTGTAACATTTCAACTGTGGTAGATACTATCTCGTCCAGATTACACGATAGTCCTTCTTTGATGTAAAGTTTCTTCAAGTTCTTCAAACTGCCAGACAACAACCAACTGGGTGTATCTATCTCATGAAAACACTCAAGCTCTAGTTTTTGCAACAATGAAGGAAGTTCCAATGAGAGAGGAAGTTCTGGATCATGTTGCTCAGTGAATTATCTTGTCCGCTTGACAAATAGTTGTGCTTGCTTAGGTGAATTATCAATTTTACCTCGAAAAACGCATCCTGACCAAGATATTTTCAATTTTTGTAGGGATTTTAATATTTGTAACTGACAAAGTTGTAGATCTGTTGGAAATTTTTTCATACTCGTGGATATGCTTAATTTTCGCAGCTTTTGCAATTTTGTCAAATCATTGATAGTACATGACTTTTTGTCCTTGGAATCTCCAATAATAAATCCCTTAGGCCCCGTTTTTTTTTTCGAGTTGAGGCTTGGGATTAAGATTAGTAGTGAGGTCGGATTCACAATATCATGTTTGTTTGCCAAATAGCCACTGGAGTGATAATCCATTCGAACTCTGAATCCCCTCCAATGAGGGGATTAGCAAAGGCGCAGAGGACTTGGTATTAGAAATTAAGCCGTTGGTATTAGAGTGTGAATGACCATTTTGCCCACAAAAATGTTCCTTCCATCTCTAGGAAATATTAACAAACCCAGAAATTTACGGAAAATTGGCTCAAATGAGGCAACATCGTTGTTCTAATCCACAAACATCCACAAACCCAAAAATTTGCAAGAAAAAAAAAATCATATCCGAATGAGGCCATCATTATTTCTTCCTTCGATCTTTAGAAAATATCAACAAACCTAGAAATTTACAAAAAATTGGCTCAAATGAGACAACATCGTCATTCTCATCCACAAACCTAGAAATTGGCACCAAAAAAAAAAATCATACCCGAATGAAGCAACATCATCTTTCTCATTAAGGTTGATGATCTTGATCTTATTCTTCATCACTGTCGGCCTTAGATGGATGAAATAAAAGCGTCACCATTGGTTGGTTTCTTTATTAATAATAATAATAATAATAATAATAATAATAATAATAATAATAATAATAATAATAATAATAAATTAGATTAATAGTTGAATTTTTTATTATTTTTAATTATATAATTTTAATTTTAATTTTTAAATAGTTTAATTGGATAATGTATTTATTAGTTTGTATAAGCTTAAATTTAATACTAATACAATAAGGGTATTTATGTAATTTTATATGGTTAATCCCATCCCTATCTCTCAAAACAAACATGAACTATTACTGATTCACTGGCTATCAAACAAACACATTTTTCTTAACCCCCTCACTAGCAGTCCCCTTATTACTAATCCCCTCACTATCAATCCCCTCTATTCTATCTCTGAAAACAAACGAGGCCTTAAAGACTTAGAGTTTAGATAGTGCACCTAGCCCCTTGGGCATGTGACCTAAAAGGTAACACTCAGATATGTCCAAGTGTGTCAAACTCTTAAGCAAGCCAATCAAATATGGAACCACCTCAAGATTGTGACACGCTTTGAGATCCAAAATCTCAAGATCAGTCAATTATGAAATGAATTGAGGAAGTTCTGTAATCAAAGAAATTTCCTCGAAGGCTAAGAAACCTCAATCATTTCATATTCTTGAGTACATTGAGAATTTTGAAGTCCGCGACTTCAATGTGATGTGTGATTGAGTTCTACCACCTTTCCAAGCAAACAACTCCGAAATACTTATGGTTGAAAAACCGTTCAAACCAGCTATCAACAATAGCCTCACCAGAGTTGAGGAAGAATGGACTATGTGGATTAACAACAGTATTTGAATCCATAGTACACACTGGTATATTCCAAAACTGCTTTAAAGAAGAGTGTATGTTGTAGTGCACCCTGTAGCTATCGATGACCAAGCCAGAATTTTTGTAGATAGGCTCAATGAAGCCCTTTGCAGTAAGCTCATCCAAGAACTCGTAGCCAAAATCCTCTAAAGTCTTCCCCAACGCAATTTGTTTTTTTGTTTTTTGATCCATTACGATTGGGGATGCAATTTTGGCTCCAATCCACCAGTGAATTAGAATTCTTTTTCTTTATAGTAACCATTTCTGGGAACATCAAGAAAAAAGTCTAAAAAAGTTCTAGTTCCCAGTGGAGGCTGCGGAGAGATACCCAGATATCTTCAAGTGCAGTGGTGTGATCAAGCTTTGGCTCCTTGTACAAGCTGCTCAAATGACTGGCCTTGTTTACATCGACTTGGTAGTTGCTGTTGCTGTCGCTGTTAATGGATCTATCAACCTATGGATTTTGACGTGGTTTGGAATCATCTTCGTAATGGATTTTAATAAGCTTTGATGGAATTTGGGATTTCAACTTCCTCACGGCCTTTTTTAATTTGCCAAATTCTTGTGTATCATTCTCTCCTCCTTCTCCTTCTCCTTTTGTTTTGAGATCCTCAAATTTTTGTCTGGCCTGGTTGATTTGCACATTCATATGATCTACAAACTTCTGAATCTTTGTCATGGTCTCTTTCATGAAATTAAGATCTTGACCAATCATTTTAGTGAGATCAGGATCTCCAACTTGGTGGTAGTCGTCATTATTGTTTGTGGAGGTGGTGGTGGCGGTGATTGCTTTGTGGTGGTGGTTGTTAAGTGGATTTGGTTGGGAGATACTACTGCCCATGGTTTTGAAAGGAACTACTACCAAAACAGGGTTGTGTTGGAGTCTTGGATAGAGTTACTAAAGAGAGAGAGAGAGAGAGAACACATTTTTTCTTTGATGGCCTGGTTTGGGTTTCAAAGAGAAAAATGGATCATGAGAGAGGGAGACACGAAAGCTAGTGTAACGCCCTCAAA